AATCAACAAGGAAAACAGTTTATCATGTTTAGATATGTATATATTTATTATCTATTCAATATATAAAATTGTCTATGAGCAACTAAAATATTAGTAAACATTTCCAATATAATAAAACTTTAATATTTATTTCAGTCAAATATGTATTTCTTAGCAATATGAAGCAATGGTTTTAAAGAAAATGGTCATTGCTTCGAAGTAAATTAAGTATTTTCTTGCTCTCATCAATACAAACCTTCCCATACATGTTTTTCACTCAGATCTTTTTTATAGAAATAACAAAAAAAAAAAGAATTATAATAAAATTATGATAAATTTCAAATACAAAACACTTAAAGGTAGCACCACCAAAAGTTCACCTTATCTGTCCAATTTATTGATGACGAGGCAGGTATTATTTTTAGATGTTTTGTATTGTTCCTTATACTATCGGATATCAGGAAAATAGTATAAAGAATTATCTTATTTCACTTAAAAACTTTTCTCGTTCCGATTTTGTTGTACTCTCATTTATAATCACAGATTTATCCTTTATTAGTCCATTTGAGCCATTTGACTTTGTAACTCCATTGGAATCTTTTTTAAGATTTTCCATTTCAACTGAGACATCAACAGAGTCTACGTCAAGTCTGTGACGTAAAATATAGAGCCAAATCATTGGTAATACCATCATTCCGCATGTTATTCCAAAAGTCCAACTTGTTCCATATCGTGTATAGATGGACCCAACAGCAACAGGACCTAGTAAAAACAAAGTAATTTTTTCTAGTAAAGTGTTTTACACTAAAAAATTATTCGTATGACCTTAGTCGTGAACAATATCAGATAAATTTAAATGCACGAGAATTAGCTCGAAGCGTTTGGATAAATATTTTATACTCAGACATGTAATACATTTAACATAATTGTGCTTACCCATTATTCTGCTGACACATCCTCCAGCAGTAAACAAACCCATCCACACACCTTGAGGCCTACTTCCTAAGATTTTGGAGAAAATTGTTTGGATAAGTGTCACTCCAATTGGATATCTAAAACAAATTATATTACATATGTTGATAATTTTTCAAAAAAAAATCATTCATTTTACCCAATACTACTCAGGATATATCCAATAATAAATTCAGGGAATCCCAGAACAGGAGTTGTGGAGCACCAAGGTTGAGTAGACACAGGGCAACCTAATATATGCTCGTCGTCATCAGAATAAAATCCTATTGTGCCATTTTCCATCATATATTCCCTATCTAAAGCTAATCGAGGATATTCATCACGATAAGGCATGAAAATCAATCTTCCGATGACCATTGTGAAAAATCCACCCCATATTAACACATTACTTTCCTTGTAACGTTGACTTAAAGGTGCAATTAAACAGAAAGCAATGCAAGCGATAAATGCTCCAACTGACATGAGAATTCCAACGTAATAAAGTGCTTCAGATTTTGACCAAGCAAATTGATCCATTGTAAGAGAAGACCCAAGAGTTTCTATTAAAAAAAAAGGTAAAACATATTAACTGGAAAACTTAAATGATATGATATATATGTAATTACGAACCAAGAAGAACAAAATTAAAAACTATGACAAAGAATGATAAAATTAATGTCCAAGAAGTGGCATAATCGGGTTTGATGGATTTCCACGTTTCTTTTTCGGTTGATTTTCCTTGAAGAATCATCTGTTCTCTAGCTGCTATTCGTCGGTCTTTGAAAAAGCATGGAAGAAACATAAGAAAATTTATGATGCCTAAAAGTACATTGCACCATCCGCTTGCAGTGTACATGTTTATTGTAAAATTCATAAACAAAAAGCCTTCAGCTCCAAGTGGCGTTACAACAGCTTGTAATGCTGGTCCAATAACGAATCCAAGTACTTGTGCTAGGGACATCATAGACACTCCATTGGTTCGTTCTTTTAAAGTTGTTGCAGCGGATACATAAGAACGACAAACAGCAATGTTAGCACTTGAAACACCAACGAAAAAACGAGCAATAAACATCCAGTATTTGAAATCATTCTCAAATAAATCTAATGACGAGTAGAGGGCGCTACTGACGCAAAATATTGCCATTGAAACTAACAATGGCATTCTAATTGAAGTTATTTTATTAGACCACCAGCCAAAAATTGGAGAAAATATCATTTGTCCCAGAGGGTTTGCTGCAACAATAAAGCCCATGAATTCTTTTCCAGCTTGAGGATCGAGCTAGAAAATAGTATATAGGTATATGAAAGTTTATCCTGTAGATATAAAATGCTTAGTAATAAGTGATTACCTTATCTAAGTACGGCCATATTCCGGTTAAAACAATTGAGAATCCTAGGCTTATGAGAAACATCGTAAAGTATATTATCCATAAAGATCGAAGTCTTTCTTCTCTTTCTTTATCAGTTTCAAGCTCCAAGATATTTCCTTTTCGGTTTCCATTTTCCAAATTATTTGTAGAATTTGGCATCCGATTATCTGTGTTGTTGGTTTCAGTCATTTTTTATATTAGATCTTTAAAGAAAGAAAAAGTTTGTGAAGAGTTTCTCTTCTTTTTAATGAGTCATATTTATAAAGTATATCAACCTTTGCTTTTTTATGTTATTAAACAAACTGATAAAAAAGAAAATACATGCATTTAAGTGATGCATTAAAATTACATAAAGCTATATCATTAGAAATCAGAACAAGCGCAAAAACAAAATTTAATTAATGATTTG